TTGTGTTGAAATATCTGCACTGATAACAACATATTCATAAAGTGCATCTTCTTCAGCGGTCGTGTCATCATCGTCGTCACCGGTTTGCGTTGAAATATCTGCTTCCAGCTTTCTGTCAGTTTGTGACGCCGTTTCAACTGTTTCACGTGGACACTCGACGACAACCGATGCGGCAGCTTCTTCTTCACTCGAATCCTTCATTGTAAGAATAAACTTAATGTTAACAATGAATGTTAAGATAACATACAGTTTGTGTTTGCTTGAAACCATGTGACTGATCACACCGAGTCACCAGAAAATAGCCTTATATTAAATAAAAGTGTCAATTGTTGTTGAGATGTTAATTAAACTCCTTGGAGGCTCTCGCTTGAGGTGTTCTTGTATTAAATTGCATTATAATATAAGGTGTCTCTGTTGTTTTTGTTGATGCTGTTGCTTTACACACTGCTTCCTATATACACAATGTATTTTTTACTTTACTACATTTACCTGACAACTTTAATGACCTAACAAATATAGAATTTTGCGACACATGAAGAACTTTTAAAATATGACGTTTCATTATAAATTAAATTAACCAATAGTTTATACAACTACAGCTGAAATCATTTGTCGAATAATCAACTACTCAACTGAATTTGAAAGTAGTTATTTTTACAGCGCTTAGACTACTTGTGATAGCCTTTCTCACTATTTTCAGAATGTTGACAAGCCAAAGAATCAATTGTTTAATGGGGAAGGTAATCAATAGATTCATCCATAAAGAAAAAAATATATTAGTGGACACTTGGATACAAAATAGTTCAAAATAAGCTCCAACTTAACCAACTACAATAGTAAAATACTGCTTTTACGTTAATGTATTAAAAATAACAATGTAATGATATCATAGCAGAACAATCACAGTGAACATGTATCAAGTACTTTAAATGTTAATGCCAAGTGCCTTTTTGTGATAATACTTACATATTTTTTCTGACACTATATTTCCATTGCAGGGTTTTTACTTGTAACATAATACTTAACTTAAGAAAAGGATGTAAATATTTCCTCCACAACTGATTAAATTGTAGACACGTTGCTTTTAACATGTTATTTGTCTGTAAATGCACTGCTTACAGTGACATTATCAAGGAAATCTAATCAATCAGTCAGAATCTGAGGGTTTTCAGACAATGTTACTGCATTTTTCTTTTTTACAACTCTTAGCAAATCCTATGATAAGATCAAAACCAACATGATCACTGTGTCTCAGTGCTGTCTCAATGATCTATTCTGTCTGCAGTACTGAGTCCCAAACCAAGTGATCCCTATCACAGACACAGTAAATCTTTAAAATTCTGGCACACACACATATAGTTTAATTTGTGTGTTGTGCACCATAGTTAGTTTTATCAAAAGTTACTCTAATGAAATAAATAGTGCATTTGTTAAGGAGGATTTTCAGCTGCAGGTTTTCGAGCTTTAACTCCAAAAACTCTACAGTGCACACACTCATCCTAATAAAGGATTATATGTGGTACAGTTATGATTAGTTGTTGTTTGTAGACAACAATGGAGCTCTACAGTGCAAGATATAACAGGCTTTAGCAGCAGAGAAAATTTAATAGGATCAATTCATCGTTGGTTTAGATCTACCAGACACATCACTAAAAAATAAAAAGCACCTGTGCACTCACCTGCTGTGGATCTGCGGGAGGAAGACTTACATCTGTTTGATCTTCCCCTGAGGTTCCCTTTTCTTTAACACTCTCGACATCAACAGGAGGTTCTGCGTTCTGCTTGAACATTTTGTTGAAGAAATTCATCTTTGCTTCTTTGCTCTTCTTGACCTCTTCCTTCTGGGTGACGGTGTCGGGGATTTCAGAAACAACCGGGGCACTGTCGGTTTGACAGTCTGATTCGATTATCACATATTCAGATGGTTCTATGGCAACATCTAAGGAGCGGGGCTCGCCATTTTGGTGGACTGTAGTCTCACTCTTAACTGCAAAACAGAAAAAAAATGTGTGATTAAAATGTAAGTAAATGGTGCAGTCCATGCAGTTTGAAAATATAGGACTGAAACTGTTGTCACTCCCAAACTATCAAAAGTTTGGGAGTGACAACAGTAAATGCAATTGAAATGTTTCATGTGTTACTTTGTGTATCAAAACACAAAGTAACACATGAAACATTTTAATTGCATTGAATTAACTGTCTTTAAGTTATAATATATACATGAATATGTTCTTTTCATGGTTAAAAATGTGACTGATAAGGACATTTAGCGAGGCTCTGATTTGTGTAAATTAACTATTTTTATTTCTTATTATATAATTATCATCTTGGTGAAAAAAATTAAAAATAGTCAGTAAAAAAAGTACCAGCAGCAAAACTGTATGGCCAAACATCCAAAGAAAGAAACACTTTGGAGAATTTTAAAATACATAGAAACTCACCAGCCACTCCAAAAGAACAGCTCTGCCTTAAATGCTACTTTTACAATGCTTTAGCATTTTAATATATTGTTGATGTTGTCAAAAACGGGATAAATCTACTTTATGTTTATTATTTAGGTCACAGTGGGTGTTGTTGTTGTACTGGACTGCAGTTCGTTTAAAACTGTTCCTTCTACTTGTCCTCATCATTAGTATACACGAGAGCACAAAATACTGAGAAAAATATGTTATTGAACCAGTTCTAAAACTGTAGGCTGCAATTCTACCAAATGTGAAGGAACAGAAATGAAGCACAACAAATGCTACACCCACTTTAGTAGAACTTGGTGGCATCCTTGAATGTGCTATGCTCATAAACCTTGGAAAAACAGTGTCATTTCCATTTGTACAACAGACACAGCCCAGTTGTGGTTCAGGGATCTCCGGGGAGGAAGGTGTTAAAGTCTTTGTTGCAATTCCTCCTTATAACAATCACACAGCCGTCACTACTTTCACACATAAATGTAGATTTGAATGTTAAACTCCTTGCATGCAACATTAAACTTAGATCCACTTGTGCAGTTCTACATGAAGTAAACATGGGCTAGTCAGTGTAAGAAAGCAACAGTATGGTTGTCTCCAACGTCAACATTAGCTCTTACATGAACTCAAGCGCTAGTGGGGATCCCACAGCGTTGTTGTTACTGCAGAGACATAAACCACACCATGACAGGTCAAATAGTTGCTTCTTGTCAAAGTCTCAGACAACGCCTATAGTTTACTTTGGCAGGTCGAAGTCACAGTCCAGCTGGGAGTCACTGTGTTTACAGAGTATTATATTAGTCCAAAGCACCAGTCTAATGTGGACATGGACAGATCAGCTGATTTTACATGTCAACCCTGGTTTATAGTGTTCTCAAATAAAGCAGTGAAACACAACAGAGGATCATAAAATAAGTTATACCTAATCTCTCATCTCTATTACCCTAATTCACATGTCTGGAGCATCAGGTTGCTTACTTTATTGTGACACCTTAATTTGTTTCTGCATGTATAAATTACATTTTGCCAGTGTAAGGCTCTATTAAGTATTACTTGCCTTATTAATTTTAACAAGAACAAATGTAGAAACATATATTACTCACCATCAATCTCCAATCCATTAGATGTGATTTTTGCAGACAAGCCATTTACTGATCCATTTTCATGCTTCTCAGCTATTTTTCCATTCTATAAAGAAAATAATAAAGATGAAAGAAGCATTGACTACATCAGTTCTGCAGTTCATTGACTATAAGGCTGGTTTTCACTGTAAACAGGAACATAAATATTGCAGCATTTTGGAAAGCAACAAACAGACATGGATAGCAAACTTCTGGATACTGCATGTATCGTCGCACAGGTCCGTTGTGTCATTTAAATGATTTTACCTGGATTGGCTCTGTGTTCGTGGAATGCTCGTTTCCCATATTTTTCCCAGTCCAGACTCACAGTATTCAGCTCTGAAACTAATTAAAAGGAGAAAAACAGTTTTGTTATGTTGCACTAACAAGAAAAGATATGCTGCAATTGATCTTTTAAGTAATTACGGCTTTTGCAAAACTCTTGGTGCTGACTTCTCTCAAATCAAATGTCTTACCTTGTTACACCTCTGCAATCAAGCAAATTATATCCTTGAGACAAAAAAAATCTATCTGTCTGAGGGATGAAGTTGCTTCTCCTGCCTGACTGTGTATGCAGTCTGTTGATAACTGGCTATTTTATGTGTGCTTTAAAATGGGTGGATCTGTTTTTAAGTGATCAATTGGATTTCCTCCAGTGACAAGCCCAGAGTCCACCCAGAGCACAGCATTGGTGCTTGAAAAAGCCCTTGATTAGCTCAAGGTAATCTCTTTATTAATTCTTTGGAAATACTACTGACAAGATTATATTGCGGTTCCACTCCAATCAGCACATTGTGATAAAGCAGTGTAGCACAGTGTTGCTGACAAAAGTAGCAGGATGTAAAGTAAGGATATCATTCTGGCATGCCTCCACGCTGCCAAAGCAAAAATGTGTGTGTTTGCTCATAACCTTGTTGCTCATTTATAACATCAGGGCATTATTATAAGCAGCCTTTTTTTTTTTTTTAAAGATCCAGAGGTAGTTAATACTAAGGCAACTAAAAATGAATCAAAATAACACATATCTCAAAATATATATTGTATTGTTTAAAATCTATTTGATTAAAATGCTCTATAAGTTGCAAATGCCAAGTGTCTGCTCTAATATGGCTGGCTAACAAAGAAACAAAGAGCTTTGTATTGAAATCATGTCCGTAAAGACTTTCACGTGGTCATGCTTGAGTGCCTGTCAGTGCCGAGTCGTTTTGAGGATCAGAGACTAACTGAAGAAACAAAACTGATTTCTTCTTTTCTTTATCATGTTCCTTTGATGCCTCTGTGACTGCATGTGTCATGATCACGTTGCTCCTGTTTGACTCCTTTCAAGAATCTATTTCTCTTATGCAAATCAAACATCAAATCATCTGAATGGGTTTTTCCTATAAACAAGTAAAAGTCTTTAAAATGCACAGTATTTATTGGATTTAGCATGACAGTACTGGGGATCCATGAACACAATGTCCCAATTGTAGCCTATAGCCTGCATGCTGAGGTGGGAGTTGGATTCTCCTGTTTGGATCGTGCTCTTATGACTTCATGCAGCCGGAGGACCTCAAGCAACCTCTTCATGATGAACCAACGCATGGCAGCCTACTGGTTTTTATTAGTGGCGCAACTCTTACAAAAAGGCCATTGATTATCAAGCCGAAAAACTGGCATTTAAAGATTTCAGGTCAAATTCATGTTTTCTCACGGTGCTGCCTGGACACCAAGCAGCAATTTGATGTGGTTCACAACATTGAATTAACAGATCTCTTGCCTTGCAGATGTAGTCAGTAAATATTTGAACTTGGGTGTAGCTGACTGTACAAATATGTACAGAGCAGCAGTTCCGGTTAATATAAAAACTAGTTTGACATATTGTAAGCACGTTTGCACATTTCTAGAGAAAATTAGACATACTAGTAACACACACTGGCTGCATTATCAGTGAAGTTTATTGCTACAGTATATTATATTTACCTGTGCATTCGAAGAATGACCAAGAAATGCCTTTAGTTGGAGAAAATAAGTGTTTTAATATCAACTTGTACCAACACACTCCGGTACCTGCTAGGTGGCGCTGTAGCTGCGGATCATCGCACTCTAAACAGTCGAAGAAGTCAAAATGGCAGCCACCATGAAGGGACCTGTAGTAAGTGAAAATTTAAAGAAATGCTTACTTTTGTTTCATAGGCACTCTCCTGCTGTTTTTGTCTGGTAGTACAAATAAAAACAGCAGAGGTTTGCGCAGAAAAGAAGCCACAACTAGTCGCTCTTGTGAGATTTCAAATCGTGGTCACGCCCTCGTGTAGTTCATGCAGCTACCGTTAAGCGTTAGCTAGCTAGCTAGCAGCTACATGTAGCCTGCTATGTTTGCTAAGTTTTTATTTTCTCCAGCTGAATTTTGCTAATAATAATAACAAGACCAGGGCTGTGGTAGTCGACAGGTCACATGACACCACTCAAGCTGCTGTTTACCATGTTGCTTACTAGCAAACAGTTAACCAGTTCCTTCCATTCATAGTTAGCGCTAGCGAACCAGCTAGGTTTGCTAAGTCTGCTTTCACTGTCCAAACGTCAGCTGTCAGTTTCAGTGATTATTTTCTCCTCGCTTGCAGGCTGTTGAAGACGTGAATGTCACTTTTGAAGACCAGCAGAAGATCAATAAATTTGCCAGGAACACGAGTCGCATGACGGAGCTCAAAAATGAAATAGAAGCAAAGAAAGTGAGTAGTAATGGGTTGTGGATATCTTTAGTCTGAACTCAGTGTGTTAAATTTACAGAAAACATCGTTAAACTAAAATTACTGCGATCTAATACGGCAGATCTGCATTAAACCCAACCTTTGTGAAGATTGTAAGATTCAGTTTTATTGCAAGTGTCTCTTAGGAGTGTTGATTCAAAGGTATGAGCAGTTTGGAGACTCAGTTTGTGGTGCTGTTGAACTGAACTGTGTGATACAGAGGGATGCCTGAGTTAGAGAGCTATTCTAATTGATAGGAGTGGGATGGACACAAAATAAAGGGATCACAATACTCTGCTTCTAAAAAAAATCTATTCTGCATGTTTTGTTTTGGTTTTAACAGTAATTCAACAATAACCGTGCTGTTACAGATGCTGTAGTTTCTATGAGTTGTGTTGATTTGTGACAGTAGGGCAGTGTGTTTTATGCAGTGCCCTGCCTTCATAGTGGGAGTATCAGCTGCTTTTTTCTCTCATAAGCACACTGCAGCATTCATGGTGTCAATGATAATGGCTGTAGAAACAAGTGCTCTTGTTGAAAAGCCACAAATTGCTTACAAAGCAGAAGGACAAAACTGAATTTCTGAAGCTGAAGCTCTGGTTGGATATGAAAATGTATGAACACAGTAATTTACTGCAATGATTTCAGGTTGACATTTGAAGGTGATGACACATGAACATGTAAGTTTGTCCAGTTCTGGCTGGACATGAACATATATGAGTGAACACATGATTTTATAATCAATTTCTCCTCTAATTATTTTAAGCAAATGAAACTATTTTGACAATGTCAATGCAAGGCAGTGGAGGATGTAAAAAGAAGCTATGAAACAACAAGAGTGAGTTGCTGTACCATAGTGTGTTCATACATTTTCATATCTAGCAGAATTGCAGTAACTCTTGATTAAGATCACGTCTGTTTACCTCCACACGTCACACTGCTGCTTATGAAAAGATAAATCCCTGCAGAGATAAGTGGGAGCAGGACGTTGCTGCACATTTTAATCACCCACTTTCACCCTTTCTGCAGGAATTCAGTTGATCATTTAGACCTGGTGTTGTTGATCTGCAGACTTGTGAACACGTCCATTTCACCAGGTTGGACATTAGTATAGTTAAACCAGTAAAGCTAACTAGTAAAGTTATCCAACCAGTGTTTGTATAGCACCTTTCAAAAACAGTTACAGTGCTTTACAATAAAACAAATTTCTTATAAGATAAATAACAAAAACAAATTCAAAAAATGAACTAAAATCTAAGCATGCAGCATAGCAAGATGAAATAGCACATTCAAGACAGCGGTCATTATGCCCTCCAACTTTATGAAAGTAGTCTAGCAAGTGTAAATACTACATTGTCTTTCATGGTGTGATTTTACCCAAGTAATTTACATATTGTGTGTTAAACTCTACAAAAGTTACATGAAACACCACTTTACCTGACTATATGACATATTAAGGCTGAAACCCTGAGGCATTATGAATTTTTCAGAATGACCTAACTTAATAATAAAGCCAAGGTCCTATTGTGTTATAAATTAAAGAACTTAACCTAACTAATATAAATATTACGGCCAGGAACCCGCAGGGTTTCCATACTGGCAAGTTTTGTTTTATATAGAGATGTTTTCCACATTGATATGTTAGGAAAAAGAGAAAGCGTTATAGTAGGACTGTCATTCTTGAAGTTTTACTATTTAACAGCAAGGTATTGTGATGCCTTTATAGGTTCAGTGCACTGTGCAACCCTAAAGCCAAATAAACTGGCAACTGAGTGTGTTTTGGGTCATAGCGGCGTAATTGATTGGGAGTTGCTAACTCAGTTTTCAGTTTCTTTGCTAAATTAATAAAGTTTCATAACCTTTGCAATGTTCAAACTGCTTTAATGAGTCGTTGAGTAAACTTAATTGTTGTTTTAGTTTGTGGTGACTGTGTAATGACATAATGCTATATAAGTACATGTTGCTCTGCAGTACACTGAGAGGTGTTTTAAATATTGAGTCTACCCACAACCACCTTCATTTAACATGGCACAATTTGTCAGTGCCACAAAGCACAGCCTCTAAAAATTACCATAAAGTTGAATCCACACTTAGCGATTCCACTGAACACAGTTTGTTCAGAAGTGTCACGGTTAAATGTCGCCTGAGGGCTATGCAGCTGCTAAGTTGCTAATACTAATTTGTTGACAGCTCTTGCTGAGACTCTGTTAATGTTAATGCTCTGCACAGAAAACGCTGCAGAACCTCCAGGATGCCAGCGACGACCTAATGATGTTCGACGACGACTCCCTATTGATCCCTTATCAAATTGGCGATGTCTTTATCAGCCACACCCAGGAAGAAACACAAGAGATGTTAGAGGCTGCAAAGGTAAGCGTAATGCAATCTCAGTAGCTTTTCACACTCTTCAGACTTTTTTCTATATTTACATTCTACCAATAAGAAAATACAGCAACAATTAAATCAAATTTATTTTGGGTTTATTTATTTATTTATTTATTTTTACCATAAAAGAGTACACTCACATGTTATTCACAACATGTCACGTCACAAGTGTATTCTATCCCTTCCCAGCAAGGAAGGTTTGTGCAGTTTGAATGTTGTCACAGTGTTTTCTTGATTGAGATCTTTTCTTTATTTGCTTTAAAGCTGCAGTGCAGAACTTTTATCCCCATCTGGCAGAGGGAGTAATTACACAAACACTTGGGCTTATGATGTATTCCTCACTTACTTTTTTTTTTTTTTTTTGCTTATGATGTATTCCTCACTTACTTTTTTTTTTTTTGTAATCTTTCTTCTGGTCATCAAGTTTCTGGAGCCTCAGAGTCCACTAGCTTGGACGCTTTCTAACTTTTTCTACCAGAGACTCCACCATGCACCTGGTTTCTTCAGCCTACTCTGTCTCTTTTGCAAAATATGCTGCTCTGTTGAGCTCTGGCACCCCGGCCATTGTTGGCTAAGGTAAAATGCATCACTACTGGTGTGCCAACGTGAGAATGTTTGCCACAAACGCCAGATTTAAAACTCTGGTTTGCTGCGAAATACAGAGAGAATTACCTGGCACTCATAGGCTCAGTTAGCATTGTTTGATAAGAGCTTGAAAGTAACAGACATTCATTTATCTGTAAAAGTTCAGCTTTCTAGGTTTAAATCAAAATTCCATCACTATTCTTTCAAGCAAAAGACAGTGAAGCATTTCTCTATGGCAGTTATTTTAGAAGTGTTTAATTTAAGCTAATAGATTTCTCATGTCAAGTTGTCCTGAATACAAATATTAAAGGCTCATTTCTTAACCCAGTTGAATTGCGAAAAAAGATTTAAAATACATGGTTTCTATTCAGTTGTAGTCTGGCACGAAAACCTTCTGGCAAAGCATTGCTTAAGCAGCATAAAGCCAGTAAACCCTGATAGAAGACCTGGTTCCTGGCTCTGATTTATCTGTGAAGCACAGAGATATCTCTGATCCTGTGAGTGTCCTCTTCTCAAAAATGGAATTTACCAATGTTTTTGAAAGCCTTTATGATCACCCCATTGGACTGCCTGAAGAGTTACTGATAAGTATTCATGTTCTCGCAATGGGATCTTTTTAAGTGCAAAAAAAGTCTCTTGTCACATGCTGGCTCACAGCTTATAGACTGGATTCCTTTGAAAATAAGTTTGCTCAGACGAGTCACATTTACATTGGAAGTGAAGGACAACGCAGCCATAAAAGGTTCTAGAAAAAACATATTTCACATACTTTGTGCTTCTGTGCAGTCAAGGTACTACAGTGTGCTGTATTTTGAAGCTGTCACAGTGGTCCAGAAGAAGTTCTGATATGTAGGTTGGAAGTACACAAATCAGAATATACTTCTGCACACACAGTTTTTTCATCTTTCAGGATTGAATTAAAGATGTTTGGATTTCTGTAAAAAGTTCGTAGATTAGCACGTTTGCCTTAATGTCAAATGAAACCCATTTGAGTAGTTTTTCATTGCAGCAGATAAATGATGTTAACACTCTTTCTCATCCTGGTGCTCAGTGCAGAACATTGTCATGTCTGCTTTCACAGAGTTTACAACACAGTTCCCTTTGAACTTCTCTTTTGTTGCATTAAAAAAAGGTTTCGAGCCCAAATGAGCTCTGTGATTGGTGTATGATAAAAATCTGTGAGTCAAAGAGTCCAATTTTATTAACTAATTAGGCATTTTTAAGACTTTATTTTATAGTGGTAGTAGAGAGTGTAAGGGAATGACATGCAGCAAATGATGTTAACTGATGCTTTGTATCAAGAAGAATAGAGACATTATGGTGTCACCCTAATTCTGAATTCTTCCTGTTCAACAGGGCCTTATATCACCACCTCTCTCAGAGCCCACCACATGTCCAACAAGGACATTATTTAGATGTAACACAGGAACGCAGAGGCCCCTCATATCTTTGCAGCCTTCGCTGAAGCAGACAATGAATTAATGCTTGTTTCTAAGTGACTGGAGTGTGACCTTTTGGAAACACTACCCAGGGGTGGGAAATTCCCCCACGGGGTATGGAGGTAAATTTAAAAGAGAGCAATCAACAACTTTGCAAGTGTTTGGTAGTCATAAGTTTTGCTGATGAAAGCAAACAGTCTACACTGAAATAGTGTGTTCAGACTACTAGTTTAAAAAGTTTTATCAGCGCTTTTGTTCTTCCAGTTGCTTTTCATTTCTTTCTCTCCACAATCTCCTGTTCTGTTGTGTTTGAAAAAGAGAGGAAAACCTTCTTCTTGCTATGATCCAGTTCCCAGCGCTGTTTAACCCTGCCTGCAACATCAACACCAACAAGCGCTCTAACAGCACTTCAGCATGGACTTGGCAACAGTGTCACCAGCCATGTATGGATGTTTTGTAACTCGCCGCTTTGTCCACACTAATATGGATATTTTGCAAAACAAAAATGTTCCTATACATTTGGATGACATGTCATCCACACACAATTATCATTTTGGGTCACTCAAATTAAGATTTTTCTCCCTCAGACCATAGTGCAGATTTTTTGTTTTTTTTAAAGGTCTGCTTTATGTGTGTCTGTGTGGAAATGGAAGTTCTGGATGCAGTGTAACACCTCAGTACGTCTCACACAATATTTTCGCTTAGTGTGATGAGCATGGACCTGAAACAGCAGCAACAACAATGGCAGTTACATACCAGTTGTTTTTTTATTTTTAAATCTTTGGTTCGCTCCAGCAGTTTCAAGTTTACAACTTTACTCCGCATTGTTGTACCACTACACTGGTATGCAGAAGTGTCTAAAGAAAAACCAAAAAAAACAAGAGCAGGCCCATTTTTTTTTCATTTCCCTTATTTTTTCCAGTTTTAACCTACACCAGGCCAGTTTTTATGTTTGAAACCAACAAAAAAAAGAAAGAAAATGGTTAGTTTGCCCAATGTCTGTTTACATTGAAAATCGAATATAATCACGTGGAACAGTGCTTTTTTTTTTTGGATTGATGTAGTTATATATTTATTCTTTCTATTATAAACCAAAAATGAAAAAATGGCCTGCTTCTCATTTTGTTTGTTTGTTTTGTTTTTGGTATTTGATGGGAAAACAGATTATACTCTAGTACTCAGTATCAATGTGCCCATGAACCCATTTTAACATGAATAAATATGGTTAAAGAAACGCTTTGATATTTTGGAAAGTAGACTTGTTTGCTGCCATCCTGAGAGATAAATGACAAGATCAATACCGCTTTCATGTCTTCATGGTACATATGAAGCTGAAGCTAATTAGCTTAGCCTAGCATACCGACTGGAAATAGAGGGGAAACAGCACCCTGGTTATGTTCACAGGTAGCGAAATCATTGCATACCAGCTCACTAATTAATGTGTTATACCTTGTTTGTTTAATTTTATAAAAAGACTGAAGTGTGGTTTAGCAGGTGGTATGTGCCAGGCTGTTCCTTCGGTGCTGTGACGTCCTGGAGTCTACGCTTGTTGCCTGGCAACCTCTCGCTGACGACAATAAGACTCTAGGACTCTAGACATGAAAGTGGTATCGATCTTTTTATCTAATCCTCAGCAAGAAGACTGATAAGCGTTTCCTAAAATATCAAGCCGTTCCTTAAAGTGTGTACGTGGGAGAGATTAATAATCTGTCCAGAGCAGAGGAACCGTCCAAAGCAGTTCATCAGGACGGGGCAACGAGAGCAGCCACACCTGAGGCCTCTCTGTCGGAAGGAGTTGTTTAGCCAGATGGCAGTTTCAATAAAGGGCACTTGAGATCCTCCGTGGTGCACCTTTGGGGAGAAAAGCTGAGCAGTGCTGGTGCTCCATAGCTAAGTCACACAGAGGGCAAGTGTTGACCAAGAGGGATTCACATCAGACCTTGTCCTCCTTTCTGCCACTTCCATGAAGTCTCTGTTTGCCCTTGTCTTGTTCCTGCATCTTCATAACGCAATACCACATACTGCATGAACCTGAACTGATTGATTCTGAGTAGTCACCTACACATACTGAATGACGAATGTGTTGAAAACAGCTTGCTTGTTATATCTGCTGATTGTAATTTAGTGCACATTTCTATCCATCGTCATTTTAGGTAATTTTTATTTTCTGCATAAAATGCTCTCTTCCAGCCTTCAGGATGTGCTTTTGATAACACAAATAGTAAGAAATGTGTTCAAACAGGTTCACAGAAAAGCTGTTTGCCACCTTCTGTGGTGAAATCGTGGCGGTTGTCATGTAATTGTAGTTTCTATGTTCCGTAATCAGGAAACACTGGAGCAGGAGGTCAAAGGCCTCGAGGACCGAGTGTCGGCGATACAGCAACTGTTGGGTGATCTGAAGGTCCAGCTCTATGCCAAGTTTGGTAACAACATTAACCTGGAGGCAGATGAAAGCTGAGCAGTGAAATGGACTTTGACAGCTGCTCCACCATGGACTTTTACATGCAGCTCTTGTATCAGATCCACAGGATGTTTGCCAAACAGAAGATCAACATGAATGGCTTAGGTTTGTAGCTTCTGGCTGATGTCTTCAGTTTAGTTCTGGGAAACAAATTTACAAGGACAACAAAGGTAAAGATGTGGGGATTAAATAAATGCACATTATTTCTAATGTATTTTAGGTGGCATCTTATTTAATGTTCATGTTTGTTTTTTTACTCTGTTGATCGAACTGAAGTAAAAAAAAAAAAAAGAGGAACGAAACCACTGTCTAGTAGTTTATCTTGTAATAATTTTAACAGTCTGAAACACTGCACAAGAACATGTTTGATTTGAAATCTCACTTTGTTTGACTGTCCTAAAAGCAGGACAGAATTAACATATTCTCCTAACACATCAGTGTATTTTGGCAATTAACGACTGAAGTGAAAGACCTAAAAAAAAAAGAGAAAAACTCAACCTGCTTAGCTTTTTTTTCCAGACTCATCTTTTTACAACAACAACAACAAAAAGCTGAAATGTTTGCAGCCAACAAATCTTCTGTCGGAATTGCAATCACAGACAGAGCTAACATGCATGCAAATTGAGGTATCTTTGCTTAATCTGTGTCCATACTCTCTGATTAGATCCAGTTTAGAGAAACAGATAGACGAAGAAGTAGAAATCTGCCATGAAATCCACACAACTCAGTGGAATTCAGAAAGGGGTATGATAATTAGAAAAGTAAAAGAACTCAGACTTTGTCGAGACTTTGCCATCTGACCAAACGGGTTGAGACGAAGGCAACGTTCGAGGAAGAAACAGTCGGTGCACTAATAGCCATGCAGCAGGGATCTTGTGTCAATAAATTAGTTTAAATGTATTTTTCCGCATTTGTATGATCGCAAAATAGACACAATATAGACATTGCGCTTTCTGAATTTACTGAGTATTAATTATTGAGGCATGTATTTGATTTAGCTAGCTATAATAATTGCTGTGGTCTCTTATAAGTACTTTCTGGTCTGAGTTCCCCCACAGTTGTTACTTTGATTGATCATTTGCTCTTTTTTTTTGGTCACAGACTTCATAAGGCTGACATAGCTTGAAACAATTAGAAAGGGAGATTAAAGCTACCTGCATTGTTAAACTACTACTTAAATTACTTCTTGTGTACACACAATGTTGTGGTTGTCGGATGAGATTAAGAATTGAGCAAATGGATCTTGAGGTAAAACAACATTTCGATTCAGTGAAACCAAAAATCAAGCTAAATGAGATCCCCTGTCACAAAGTCATAACCTCATAAGATGCAGATCATTTTCATTTGGATTACTGAATATTAATGGGGGGAAAGAAACATGAAATTATCTAGTGACCAGTTCAGACAGAAACTCACACTTAAAGTTAAAATGTTGTACATATATTACAGTATTTGTTTTCAAAGCAATTTATCAAATCAGTGCAGGAATCAAAGCAAAAGCTGCAGTAGGTCTTAAACATCAATAGATTCAGGTATAGATTTCGCTGTCTGTAATATTTTTGCTCCATGTTAATTCTCCGTATACACCGTGCTCCGACAAATATCAACAATGCACAAACCTCATTAAATTGTGCCCTCAAGTGTGGCCTGCATGGGCTAATAAAATATCTGGGAAAAAAAAAAATGGAGAGCTTGAAGTTATAGCAGACGCCTCTGGAGGATCAAGATCTCAATTAACAAGTTTCTCCTCCCAGTAGCTTTGCTGCTGAACATTCATAGCTATGATTAAGAGGAACTCCACCCACACAGGCTTGTCTTTATGCACAGCTTGTTAAACCTCCGGCTCAGAGGAACACACATGGAAATGACTGGGCTTATTTCCCCGATGGCCTTGTTTATTCTCCGTCTCTGTCCCTTCTCTCCCTCTTTATGTGTTCGTTTCTGTCTTTTCGCTCCCCTGCTTTCTCCGTAATGACATGTATGTTAATATTTAGCAACTGTGCAGCCGGATTTCGCATTACACTTTGACAGCTTTTAAATCGGTATGTTTTCCACTGAAGCACTCCACTGCACTTACTTGTCAGTTAAGGTGGAGTGTAGTCTGCTGAAATCTGACTGATTAGTGTTTTCCTACAATTACAACAGTAAGAATGATAATTATTTGGCTAAAACATGATGTAAGTATGTTGTTTAATTCACTGAACACTGTGGAGTGCTCCTTAGACTGTTATTTGAAGGAACACAATCTGAGGTTGTGTCAGAAAATATCCACGGCTTTAAGTAACAGCAGGAACAGACCAGTGGGTGTCTCTGTCTCCCCAGTAATTTCACAGTGAGATAAAATACATTTTACTTGTATGAAGATGCGTTCATTGGATATGGCTGCACTTTGCCACTATTGGAGAAACACAACAAACAAAAACCGTTTACGTCACACTTCCTGCACAAGAATTGTGAATAAGATGCAGTTGTACACATATGCAACTGAAAAATGCTTTTCAAATAAAGATAAGAGTCTTCGTAATTGTTTGGGCTTCTGGTTCAAAATGTGATATGCAACAACTAGACTTTAATTACATCCCTCTTAACTGTCTAAATTAAAAACAATCCAGTAGACTGTGCAGGTTCAGCTGGTGTCTCCTGCTCTTTCAAGAGTTTGTGCGCACTTTATCATTTCTGCACTGGTGCTACAGTGAAAAATTGTGTTTGCTCACTGTCTCTGCATGTTAGCCTAAATGTCAGGAGAGTCAACCCAGACGGTTTGAAAAATCCATAGCAGCTACAGCCATTCTTCATCACTTACAGCTGCACTGTCTCAGCCAGCTTTTATTCAGTACAAGGGAGGAACAATCCACTGCTGCTCAAAAGCACAATGCACCATGCTACCTGTCAGATGGCACGCGGTTTATGACCAATAATAAATGTATTTGCAAAATTAAAAACCCTGCAGAATAGGGTATTGTTCTTTTGCCTTCAGCATGCAGTGTCCAGGGTATTTTCACTTGGGCGTTTTAGAAAAAAAAAAAATGTTATTGTTATATTGTGCTTTTATTGAACAGTCAAGAGTGAGACGAAGATGGCATGGAATAAACACTGCTTGGTTAGATTTGAACAGCAAACATACACCTGCCAGACTGTCAGGGCAGAAACACGGACCGGGACGTCTTGTTGTGTCTGGCACTGGGACGATGGCAGGAGATCCTTTGGGTCCGGTGGGTTGCAGGGTGGGTCTCCTGTACATTGAGGTTGTTTCACCCTTAATCCTTTTGGTTTCTGGGTAATTTAGAAGCTGAGTTAACATCTTGGGCTCTTGGTCGTGTTCCTCCAGCTGGTCCTGAACAGGTTTTGTAGTGTGATGGGGTGCATCGTCCAGCTGAGTGCTGCTGTCGGACAGTGCCATATCCATGAGGGAGTTTTGCTCAGTGTGGAAAAATGGTTAGATAAGTGTGAGGGGTGTGCAGGACGTCTTAACAGGGGGTTAAATGTAACATAGACCCTTCACATACTTACACAAGGTCAAGCAGGTTGTGCTCCTGGTTTGTTTATTGTGTTGCCCTAAGACAGTACCTCTAATTTTCAGAAGGTTTGGACATGTTTTCTGTGTCTTAGAAGAGTTTTTTTTTTTAATGTTTCCATGTGAGATCAGTGTCAAAGTGTTTTGGTGGCATTAAGTAAATTTATGTATCACAATTGTTTTTTTGATTAATGAGCTGTGGCTGCAAGGTACAGAATCCAACCTCATAATCCTAGTAGTTGTCTTGTTACCCAAAAGATAGCACTGTTTTGAAACAACTCACAGAAAGTGTTAGTTAGGTTTGAGGAAACACTCCCCACAGTGTTAATTGCATTGCAGTGTTAGTGCTCAGACTCCCAAAGACCTCCCAACAGCACTGAAATACAAACAACTGTTTCTTGTAACTTGTTTTTTATTTATTTATTTTTTAAGAAAATAAGACGTCCATCCCTCAGATTTCATACATGTGATTTACTTTGTAGAGAAAAATAAAATTGTCAGTGTTTTGACACATATATTGCATATGTTTTGACATTTGAATGTGCGTTGTATCAAGGTTTTCCATCAATCTACATCCATCAGTCCGTCCATTTTAAAGTCCATCGATGTTAGACTAATAAAAGATGGATAAATAGACCGGTATGGAGCCATCCATCCATGATTTAGATGGAAAGACAAAGAGATGTCCCCCAGTACCCATTTAATTACTATCTATGATAGACAGAAAGATAATGGACAGATAATCTCCATATATATCTGCTTATCTATGTATCAGTCTTTTAGATAACAAATGGGCACATGTGTCAGTATCTACCAGACATAGATCAACAAATAGTACCCACCTATAGTATATATATAGAATTGTATTGAATTATTTGACTTTACTAAAAGTTTTACAACGAACCTTCTGCCTGTTACGATTAACCCCACCCAAAGGGGATCATTGCACTTTCCCCAAGTTCCCTGGAATTGTCCAACCAAGTTGTAAAAACACGATTGATCTAACTAAAATATTTTTTTTGTTCTAAGTGGGTTAGGTTGTGCCCACTTCCCAGCTGCATGCCAAAGTAACATCCACATGAGTGCCAGGGCCCAAGGTTTTCCAGCAGAATATTGCACTTTTATGAGATGAATAATGTTTTTCCCTTCACCTGCCACTGGTTTTCATGTTGTGTGCATGTAGTTTCTGTCTTAGTTGGAGCTGAAACGTTTTCTCAATGTAGGGATCTGAAAAAGATTAATTTATTCATACATATATACGTTTTTGTATTATTGCACACCAAATGCAATGTCTTTGGATTTCGGATTGTTAGTTGGTCCAAACGGGACATTTGAAGACATCCCTGTGAGCGTAGGGAAGTGGTGATGGTCATTTTATAAACAACAGCTAATTGTTTACTCAAAAAATATAGAAAGCACATTAATCAAAAGGAAAAATGAAAATTAGCTGCAGCACCGGTATTACAGCCCTGGGCCACAAGTGTATTCCACTCAACTAAATGTGAAAACCCCACTGAGTTTCTGAGTGATCAGACAGGATATGAATGTCCTTAGCCTTGACAGCTTTAGCACTGCACAATATAAGAGAATGTTAAGTAAGCTGTGTCATAATAGACTATGATAGACCATGATAGATAGACTGTGATAGACAGATCCAGATAGATAAAACGTGATAGACCATGATAGACAGACTGTGATAGACAGATCCAGATAGATAAAACATGACAGACCATGATAGACAGACTGTGATAGACAGACTGTGATAGATGGACCTAGTTAAATAGACCATGATAGATAAACATAGATAGATAGACTATGATAGACACAGCTAGATCGATAGAGCTAAATAGATGAAGCATGATAGGTAGACCTAGATATAGACAATGATAGACCATGATAGGTAAAGCTGGATAGCTAGACCTAGACAGATATAGACAGACATAGACATAGATAGACCATGATAGACAGACCAAGATAGATAGACTTAGAAAAACAGACCTAGTTAAGTAGACCATAGATAGGCCTACATGGACAGACCATAGCAGAAAGCCCTGGATAGATGGGTAGATCATGATAGATAGACCTACATAGATAGACCTTGACAGATAGTCTTAGATAGATAGACGGTGATAGAGAGACCATGATAGACCTACAGACCATGAAAGATATACCTAGATAGATAGATCATGATAGATAGACTATGGTGGACAGACCATGATAGATAGACTATGACAAATAGACCATGGTTTTGGGGATTAAGAAAGAGAAGCCTAAAAATTATAGTAAGACTGGGTGCTGTGAAGGGAACGTGTCAGAGGAACGATGAAGAGATGCACCTGCGTGAACAAATGCCACAGATCGTTTAGGAATCGGCAAAAGAGCACAGAACTCAAGGTGTCGATGGGCCAAAAGCCTGAGAAGTTCTGAATGAGATTTTTACGACTAATTAATTTGTCGATAATGAATTCCTCTCCTTCACTTCCTGTGGACAGGGACTCTGGATAGCTGTGATGTGTGGAGGCTGAACACTATTCTGTCATTCATTTCATTACTGTCTGTCAAGTTGATCAGCCAAGACAATAAAGGCACAATTCCACTGCGGCAGCGTATGAATCATCTGAATGATGAGTCTGTGTGTGGACTGATCCCTCTGTGAGCATGTGCGAGCATCCGTCTGTGTGTGTGTGTGTGTGTGTGTGTGTGTGTGGCATCAGTGCTGCAATCAGGACTTATAAGTGCTTTGAAAACAAATTGGTGTCCCACAGCCAACATCCAGTGGTTTATTTAAAGATTTGTTTATCTTTCATTTATGAATTGCTGAATTGGAAATTAAAACTTTCACCCGTGTATCATCGAGTCTCTATCCAAAATGCCTAAAATGTGTGGGAGTCTGAGCTTGTAAGTTTCCATCAGTTATCTGCTTTAATCAGAGGCCCCTAATATGCAGAGAATATTACTTCTGAAAAGCATTTCCATATCCACCATGGAACAATATGCCAAATAACTTACCATATGAAAGACAGTAGAATGCCTCCAAATATTTCAATGAATATCATTACCAAAGATTTTTTTATTTATTTATTTTTTTTGTCAGGTACATTGCGAAGACCTTGACAAAATTGAACCATCGAAGCTGTTCGGAGACAGTTTAAAGCGCACAAAGAGCTATTGTTAAAAAAGGGATGGACAGCTCAAATCTTACTAAATATTTGCCTCTCATTTGTGATCTTACAGAGATTTTATGTAGCCATTACAGTGGAGTTTATTTTAACCATTTCAGTCTCACCAGTAGTAGGGATGTTCCTATACACTGGGGATCAGAACTGGGGTTGATCAGGGTATTACAATTCTGAGCCCGACCCTTTGTTTAAATCATACAGGGGGATGCAGTATGAAGGCAGTTTTTGCCTACATGCCTACATGCACTTCTTCAATATCATGTTTAAATAAACAAAGTTTAAAGTTTAACAGCTCTGATGTGCAGTTGTCACATCAGAAAATAAGCAGCTGCATTGAGGTCAAATAAATAACTTACACAATTAATAATTTTCTACCAGCATTTGACTCATGCATCACTTGCAGTAGCAACACTTTTTACCATAATACATTTTTAACATTTTAACAACCTGTTCCTCTTGAGTGATGCAGCTGGCACAAGATTGGTCCATTTTGTGCCAAAAAACAAAAACTGGTGTGATACGTATTATCTGTGACTGGGATTTTATGTTTTGTTGGGCCAGATAATGCAAAGAAAGCCTGGTTATACCAAATGTACTTCGTGTTACGGCCATAAGGGGAGAGCACAATATTGTAGACAATACTGTACACTTGTCCTGTGCTGATAAAGCTATTTTAATCAACTAACAAATGATTCAAGGAGTGTTCATGAGTTTTCTACTGCTTATCTGAGCCTGGCTGACAGACCTCCCTCTCACCTGGTGTCTGGAGCAACACAGAGGCGTTCCCATAAAAAGGCCAGAGACATGATCTCGCCAGTGTATCTTGG